GGCATATTTTTCGAACAGAAAATGATCAGTTAATCTTGTGAATACAGTAATTTTAGCATAATCCAGTTTAAAGATAGTTATTTTAAAATGCTTTTTGCATTTGCAGTCTAGTTTCTGTGAGGCCAGGAGTTAAGTAAAGAAAGAGGTGCAGTAGAAAAATCTCAGCATCATTAACACTTTGAATACAGGACTTTCTTCCAGAAGCAGACTTTTATGTTGTCTCCCAGAATGCTGTGGTTGTGGAAGTACCGTTTTGGTACCACTCTGATGTATGTTTTGTTATTTATATAGAAATCCTGCCTCTTTTGAAATCAAAGGAATCCTTCCTTTCATTTATGGTAAGATTTATTTTGGTAAAATAGTTACTGTTAGGTGACAGGCACTTTCATAAGAATTTAGATATGGATTTGTTGATTATATTCAAGTGGGCTAAATAACAGTTGCTGAAAGGAGATACTCTGCTGACAAAATGCCTTTGGAACCCTGAGGTTAACAGAAAATAAATTACAAGTTTACTGTTTGGCCATGTCTTACACGCATAGGTCTTTGTTTTAGGGATATGTTTGGAGAAGACTCTGTGAGTTCAAAAGATGGCTCTGTCCTGTGCGTCACGGTTGATGGCAAGACTGCAAACATTTCGCTGGACACTCGGGTATGTAAAGCAAAGCACTCCCTTTTGTGTCTGGCTATATTTAGCAGAGGGGAGTCTCCCATCTAATATACAGATCTGCCTAGAATATCATGTACCCATTGCTACGGAAATTATTTTGTATTTGATATCAAAACAGCTTAAGTCTGTTCACTTTCCATTATTTCCATTGACATTCTCATCAGTGGATCAGTACCCTGCCTCTCTGAGAGAAGTACTTACCCAGCCTGTGAGCTGAGATCACTGATTTAACAGAAGCATATCCTACAGAGTTTTCTTCATTAAAAAAAAAAAAGCTAGAAATGTTTATGTAACAAATGCAGTAAATTTGGAAGAAACATCAGTATCTGTCAGCAGCTCTCTACTTGTATAGAGATGGATAAAGGAAGATTGTAGAGAAGAAATGGATTTAACCCACAATTTCTTTTGTAAATGTTCTTAAAACAGGCTCTGGTCTGAATAACTGAACAATCAAGAGTAGGAGCAATGGTAATAATTGGGTTTTTGATTGTTTTGTAGATAAACTGAAAGCCTGAAATACTCACAAAAAGAAGTATTTTATTAATTTATTAGCTAGGTGTAGAATTGAATGTCATGCATGTCAGAAGTTTGCTTTAAGAAGCAATCATGCCTAGTTACTAAAAAATAAGGAATTGTAAAGAATGATTCAAACCATGTCTTTTGTGTTCTTAAGCATTTTAATGTGTTGACTTTGTCATTATTAATAGCACAGTGAAAATATATAATGTATTACCACTACCCATTGTAGTAATCCATTCCAATTTGGAGTAGCTCCCAGATGCTGTCCTGAGGGACCATAACAAATGTTTTAAGTGTTCTACAAACCCAAAAGAAGGTTGATCCCAGCCCAAAATTTCTTACCTATTGAAACAAACTAAATGAATATTAATTATCTCCAGAGGCAGGTGAGTTACAGTCTTGTGGTTAACACACCATGATTGGTATGTCATCTTTTTTCAGTTTTTTAATAAACATATGCTACATTTCAGTGTATACATAGTATAGGAACATAGGACTGATGAAAAAAAGCTCTTGCAATAGAGAAAAAGGTAACAAGACTGGAAAAAAAAACCCATAATGCTTAATCAAGAAGTTAGGCTTCATTTTCATGTAATATTATATTGATGTATATCATTATTGTTAATAATACATTATTGATGTATGTTATTATTGTGCACTGACAGAAGCCCTAGTGGCAGCTCAGCTGCTATCTTGTGTATCTTTGTAATACTTTACATACTGTGTTGGCAGTGGCAAGCTTGTGCCATTGTGAACGAGGTTTCTGTCCTTATGTGCATATATATCTTCTTACAAAACTTTAATGGCCTTAAAATGAAAAACTGTTTGGTATAGATCTGACTATATGGTGGGATTTGTGTATTTACTTCTTCCATGGTAACTGTTAACACAGTGCTCTTAGAGTTCACATGCTTCTAACAGCATTGTCAGATAACATTAAATACATTTGCTGTTTTAAATGTCCCCCCTTTCTTTTCTCTTCACAAACATTTATGGTTGAAAGCTGTTACTTGTTCAGAAGACCAGCAAGTTAATACTGAATTAGAGAAGGTACAGTCTTAGAGCCTGAAAGTCCATAGGATCAAGAATAGTGTTACTATGCAAATGCTGCCCTTTGAGATAGAGCAGTCAGGGGATAATCAGGTTGAATGTTGATCAACTTGTGTGTTTGGAGTGAGCATCTTTCTCTAGGAAGACTTGCTTTACAGATAGATGAATCTCTGCAGGCTTTTATATTGATGCAAATGTTATTTTATGGGTATGGGAATATCAGTGTGGAGGCTCCCTCAGCAGAGAGGGACTGTAGCTCTGTGATGAATGCATGTGTTTTACAGTATTAACCTAATGCAGCGCAGATGAATTCACAGATAAAATGGAAACTCCAAGGACTGAATCTCGTGTGGTTTTATTTGATTTTGAATTAAATGCAATGTACAGAACTTACTGCATTTTACAGAGTAGTTTTGAAACATGTCATTAATCAAACATAACACTTGAGATTAAGTTTCTTGTTCCTTAGCATAGAAGGACTTCCATAAGTCTTCTCTGTACTCTTCTGCATGTTGGCAGACCATTTAAGAACATAAAGTGCTGCTCTTGATAACTCTTTTCCATTTGCATGACTATTTTTTTCGTTTCCCCTGATGAGCACTGCATTGTTCACATGCTGAAAAGGAATATGAAGTGCTGGTTGTTCTAACTTAACGTCTATTTTTTGTTCCCAGACAGTTGACTGTGAGCCAGGAAGTGAAGATGATGAATCCCTCCGTGAAATGGTGGAACTGGCTGCACAGAGGCTTTATGATGCCCTCAGCCCAGTATGCTGACCTCTGTAGATACCTAGGACACACAAAAAAAAAATCTTTTAAATGTTCAATTTATTTGGACTATTTTTTAAGAGCGAATAAATTTTTTTCTTCAGTAAGTCAGATGTATCAATGCTGTGACTGTGAAACTGCTGAGTTATTTCAAGTAATGGATGAGCAACCTTTGAACAACTATATTTGTGGATGTATTATAGATTATAATAAAACCAGGCAAAGTGTGCATATATTCTTTCTTATGTGCACATACAAGAAATAAAGAAATTCTTAACCTATCTAAATGTAGAATTACACAAATTAAATTTGAGTTTCATGTTTTTGAAGATTAATGACCAGCTGGAGGATGAATTTGATGTATTTGGTTTTCATATGCTCAGAGTCATAGAATCATAGAATAGTTAGGGTTGGAAAGGACCTTAAGATCATCTAGTTCCAACCCCCCTGCCAAGGGCAGGGACACCCCACACTAAACCATCTCACCCAAGGCTCTGTCCAACCTGGCCTTGAACACTGCCAGGGATCAAGCATTTACAACTTCCCTGGGCAACCCATTCCAGTGCCTCACCACCCTTACAGTAAAGAATTTCTTCCTTATGTCTAATCTAAACTTCCCCTGTTTAAGTTTTAACCCATTACCCCTTGTCCTGTCACTACAGTCCCTAATGAAGAGTCCATCCCCAGCATCCCTATAGGTCCCCTTCAGATACTGGAAGGCTGCTATGAGGTCTCCATGCAGCCTTCTCTTCTCCAGGCAGAACAGCCCCAACTTCCTCAGCCTGTCTTCATACGGGAGGTGCTCCAGTCCCCTGATCATCCTTGTGGCCCTCCTCTGGACTTGTTCCAACAGTTCCATGTCCTTTTTATGTTGAGTCAAGCTTGTATAGAATTTTGTTCCTGTCAAGGAAGCATGCATTGCTTCCTTGCAATACAAACTGCATGCTTGCATCTTCTTGAAGTCAAAGAGAGTTTGAACACATATAAAAACCAATCCACGTTTGCATACTGGGGTTAATTAGCGCTTTACAGCTGTGTATACAGGCATTACCATTAACTAGACTAGATGAACAAAACCAGCTTCAAGCAAAGTCTGTGCTTATGACCCGCAACAGCCTCGTGCAAATTTCAGCGACAGTTCGCACATGTCTGCCCCTGCCAAGGGCCTTGTCACTCTGCTGGTGGAAGGGTCTTCCTGGGCAGCGTGAAATGTGGTATCTGCATGTGAACTGCAGCATGTGGAGGAGAAGAATGATACTCCCAAGTTAGCTGGGTTGTTGCCAGTCAGTAAACTGTGCAGAAAATTGTCCATGGGCAGTGAGTTTTCTGCAAGAGATCTTCCTCTTACACACGCAGCTTTTTGTCTACCCGCTCCCAGCTGTTTTAAATTGGCATCTCATTGATCACAGAAATTGGACTACCAGGTTGGAATGTACCTCAAGGACCATGTGCTCCAACCCTTCTTGGCAAAGTATGGCTAGATGTCCCAGGTCCCTGTCCAGCTGGGCCTTCTAAGTGTCCAACACTGGGGAATCCACCACTTCCCTGGGGAGGTAATTCCAAGGGTTGATTGTTCTCATAGCGCAAATTTCCTCAAGTCAAATTAGAATCATCCCAGGAGTAACTTGTGCCCATTACCCCTCCTCTTTTCCATGTGACTCCTTCTAAAGGGAGTCTCCATCTTCTTTGTAGCCACCCTTTAAACACTGGCAGTATCATCAGTGTACTGTTAGTACTACCACGATTAGTGACAGCTTCCCTCCCCAGCCTGTATGTCATTAGGCATAACAGTATTAAGCCTTTCAAACGCGGTAACTGCATTCTATTTAAAATGAGATACCTCTTTGGAACAGATAAAAAGTCTTATTTTAAAAATTATCCCCGTGTTTTTTAACGGAGCTTTCAGCCACCGCAAGGCGGGGCTCTCCCACAGGGACCGCCATCTTCTCCAGGCCGCGGCTCCGCAGGAGGACGCGCTTCGCTGTTACGGAGGTGGAAACCAGTTAAACATTGGCGCTGCTGGAACCTCAAGCCACCTCTTAGCGTAGGGGAAGCGGCGAGGTTTCCTCCTGCTCCTCCTCTCGCCGTTCCGGCGGATGTCCGGCCGCAGACATGGCGCTGGGGGAGGCGGGTGCTTGCGGGCGGCTCTTGCTGTGGCCCCGCGTCATTCTCTTCGGAGACTCCATCACTGAGGTAGCGGCCCTGCAGCAGCGCCCTGCCGCCGCCCTTGGCTGTGGGGTCGCCGGCTTCACACCGTCGTAATACCGGCGGCCCCGCAGCTCCCGCCGGAGCCCCGTGAGCATCCCGGTTCCTTGTACCGGAGTACCGTGGTTTTCCGTGGACGCTGCGCCAGCAGCAGCCCAGTTACACTGAACCTGTGCCAAGCACAGGGCTAGACTTAATTTGTACGGAAAACCGAGCTGGATTCAGCGGGAGGGGGTGCGTGTGCCCTGTCGTGAGGCAGCCTGGCCTCCAGCCTCGCCGGGGGCAGGAGGAGCCTGTCGGGCGGATCGTAGTGACTGGGCCCTGTGAGCCGCTCTCCCCAGGGCTCTGCCGGCCTGCGGTCTGGCAGCAGTGTCAAAACCCGCTCTGACCTGGCGGGGCTGGAGGGGCAGGGAGCGGGGAGCAGCGAGCAGCCTGGCTCTGTGAGGCGTAAAGGAGGCCGGAGAAGTGGGAGCGCAGCCTAAGGTAGTTGTGTCCCTGTTGGATCTCCCGTGAGAGTGTGCCAGGAGCTTTCACACTGATGGTCATTAATGAGATTTAGAGCCTTGTTGCAGAGAAACTTTAAGTTCCTGTGTTAGCAGTGTGGTCTGGTAAAAGTGTAGTTTCTGGTATTGCAGTGGCAGGGGTGTTTCTCAGACAGGGTTACCTGTAGTGGCCCTCACTCCCGCAGCATTGTAACAGGATGGTGCAGCAGTGGGAATAAAGGGAGGGGATTAATTTTTCCACTGCTAGGAGAGATAGGTGTCAGACTGCATTCTGAAGCAGCATGTGGAGAGAGGATTGTTGAATGGAAGCTCAGTGAAAGGATCTTAGAAAAAGGTGTTAAAACCCCAAATCTCATCAGCCGAGATGAAACTGCAGCCTGGCAGCGGTCCGTTTTGATCACTTGCCTCTGATGCCAGTTGTACGTCTATGTAAAGACCCAGACCGTTGGACCTCTGCAGAGTAGGCAGGGCAGGCTGGGAGGAAGCGCTGCTACAGAGAAAAGCCTTTGAGGAGGGAAGGAAGATGCTAGTGGTGGGACTGCCTTGCTGGGGAGTGAACTTTTCCAGTGACGGTCTAACAGATTTCCTTCCTCTCAGTTCTCCTTCCGGGAAAATGGCTGGGGGACGTATCTTGCTGAGAGACTGGTCAGGTAAGAGGTTAAATTCCAAAAAAGTAATGTCTAGCATACAAGAACGTGTGCAGCTTTTCTAAAAGAAAACCAACACAAGTTAATATTTAATGTATATTTATTTATTAACTATTTATTTATTGAAGTGGAACTGCCTTAGTGGTAGGCTGCCCAGTAGTGGTGGAAATACTCACTGGGTGTTTCCACTCAAAGCTTGAGTGGAAATTACAAAAATCATAGAACAGTTTGGGTTGGAAACAACATTAAAGCTCACACAGTTCCAACCCCTGCCATGGGAAGGGACACCTTCCTCTAGACCAGGTTGCTCAAAGCCCCGTCCAACCTGGCCTGGAACACTTAAATCCTTAGGGGTTGTCAAGATTGTTGTTCCTGCACTTTCAAGACACAACGTTATAATCCCATTGAAAACTTCTGTGACACCTCATCATTTCTGAGAGGGACGGGAGCAGGTGTCCCGGCAGAGTGGTTCAGAACGCCCCAGGTTTTGTCCTGATGTGCAGAGGAGGACTGTTCTTTATGAGACATGTTTCTGTTTCAGAAAATGTGATGTTGTGAACCGTGGGCTCTCAGGATACAACACCAGATGGGCTAAATTGATCCTGCCAAGACTGATCGCTAAAAGTGCTGGTGCTGAGAGTACTGTCGCAGTTACTATTTTCTTTGGAGCTAATGACAGTGCTTTGAAAGGTATTGTACCTTCCCTCCCCACCTGTCACCCCCATGGCTCTTAAGACAGTTTTACAGTTCAGCCAGGAAAGCAGAACATCACACAGACTTTCCTGGTGCTTCTCCAGGAACCAGTTACCCTCTCTTTGTTTTTACAGTGGATCGTTTTCAATCATTTTACTTGTATTTAAACCATGCAGTGCCTTCTATTCCTCTCACGAAGGTTTAATATCAAAAGTAAATGTCAAGGTGCTCAAGAATCAGTCGTATATCCATCACCTAAAATTGGAGTTGGGCATCCTGCTGATTTTTCTGCCTTTAAAGCAGGCTCATGAGTTCTGGCAGATGGGTTGAGGTAATGAGGGAACGAATGCATATTTGGATTCTTTTAGAGATAAGCATAGCAGCATGCAGAGCTAGTCTAATCAAAATGATAACATCAGTGCACAAAGGACTGACTGCGCATCTAAGGGAATTTCCCAAATTTTCTCTGCACCCAGGAGGGGTAAAAATCTTAGGTTTTGTTTCAGTGAGGTTTGAGGTGATTGTGTGATCTAATACTAAGATACGGGGTTGTAAGAGCATCTAAAAATACATATTTTTCTTTGGTTTTTATTTTTCTCTGTGCCTTATTTATATTAGTTGAAAGTGCTGTGTTTAAAACCTTGATTTGTCTGCTTTGGATGTTGAGGAGCCGTGTTTTCCTGTCACACCTCCTGGTCCAGTGGTTGAGGTGAACTGCACACAAAATGAGTGCCCACATTCATACGCTGTGTACAAAGCACATTGTACTGTGTAATAAACCTGTGAGCAGTTTAACATCACTAGTGCGCGTGCTCCATCCCCGAATAGATCTGAACCCAAAGCAACACGTTCCGTTGGAGGAGTACACTGCGAACTTGAAGAGCATGATACTGTATCTCAAGTCAGTGGACATTACTGAAGACAGGATTATTTTGATAACGCCACCACCTCTTCAGGAATCAGCTTGGGAAAAGGAGTGCCTTGCCAAAGGTAAGAGTGATGCGGACAGGCAAAACTTCAGCATTTTCCTGGCGGAGTTTAAGTTCCTAATTGCAGGCTGAGAGGTGATTCGCTTCCTGCTTGTGCCAGGTAGCAGTCATGTTCCTTGAGCTGATGGAAAAAAGGACAAGTAGCTGGCTTGCTAAAGAACTTTTAGGTAAGCTTGTGCAGTAACTACAGACTGATGAGTAACATTCTTTTGAAAGTGTTGTTTGAGCTGTTTGTGCATGGAACTGGCAGAAGTGTCTGCCCTTTGAGAATGCAGGTTGTGCTGAGATGTCCTAGACAGACTACATCATGTCCTCGCAGCTCCCAAAATAACCCGAATTATGGAAGAAATTCTGGCATTGTGTGCCTTAGAAAAATTTATAATAGTCACAATATATTTGCCATCTATTTGGATAAGCAGTAATATCCTAGCCAGGTTTATTTTAAATTTACAGCTCCCTCCCCAAAGATACCATAATCTAAGATGCTAATAAAAGTACCTGGGAAGGAAGCAAAAGGTAATTAAATGATTTTTCATTATGATGTTGTTCAAGGTGATTCTAAAAATAGAGACTGCTTACTTCATGTTAGTCAGCTGATGGAAATTGCCATAATCCCACTGACTCCAGCAGCGACAGTTTATGCCTCTTGAGAGTGAGTCCTCTTTTGGGACAACTTGTCCATTTCTTGCACATTTATAAAAGACTTGAGTTAGATTTAGGTAAATACAGAGCTGTCACCTTAGTATTTGCAGGGTTTTCTCTAACTTAGGTGATATTACATGTCCTGAGCTGTGTGCTCAGTCTAGGTGGTAACATTTTGAAGATGATCCCATGTTTAAACTGTACCAAGTTAGACTGTGTTGTTGCATGACTTTGCATTAGGGGGCTTTGTTGTGTGGTAGCGGTCACTGTACAAAACAGGTTTTGGACTGTATGGACTTTTCAGTCTCATCCAGCCAGGTAGTTTTTATATTTAACATAGAAAAAGAGAGAAAGTCCCCCAAAGAGTTACACTCACAAATTGTGTAAGACAGCAGCTGTAGCAGGACAGATCAGACACGGCCAGTACAGAGTATGTGGCAGTAGTAGATCCTTGGACAGTGACTGAGGGGCAGGTCAGGCATAGATCAGCCTTTCCTGTGTGTGTGCCCAGCTCTCATTATAGCCTTGGTTTCCAACACATGGACCTGTATTGTCCTCTTGAAATGTTAGGTGAGCACGCCATGAATGCTGCTTATCTGGCTCCTAGCTACCAAGTAACACCTCTAAAATGTTGTTAATTCATTTTCATCTTAAACCTATCCTTTTCATGGGGTAGAGAGGGAGGAAGCTTGCATTTACAGTGTTGAATCTGCCAGCATCTGTCTGAAAGAGTTTGCTCTCTAGGGATGGAACAAAAGACAGGGTGATCTCAGACCGTGGACCACAAATGGAGTATTGTGGGCACAGTAAGCAGCATTTTTGGATCATCTGCCCTCAACTATTATCCAGGGGAAATGTTGTGGTTATTTTTGGTTTTGTCAGAGATCAGAGCAAAGGAGAGAGAGGTGTGAAACATGAGGGTGATGATGTTCACAGGAACATTCATTCAGGTGTGAAAAGAGGTGCGAAAAGCTCAGCTTCTGAATCCGAATGCTGAGGGAGGTGGAGTCAAAGCCCTTACTAAGGTCAGAGCTGCTCTTCATCATCTGCATAGCCATTAATTTATTGCAGAAAGCAGTCGGGTGGTCAAGCATTATCTGGCTTTGCTAAACTTGTATTGATAGTTCCTTGTTGTCCTTCATGTGTTTGGAAATGAATCTCAAGAGGAGGTAACCCCACTATCTTTCCCAGCTCTGAGGTGAGGCTGAGTGATAAACAGGTCCCAGGTCCTTTCTTGTGTTTCTTGAGATTGGATGTCATGTGAACCTTCTTCCAGTCACTGTGGGGCTCCTGTTAGCCATGAATTTCTGTAGGTGGAAGGCACTGACCTCATGAGTGCAACAGGCAGCTCCTTCACGTCAGTCCCACACACCCAAATGTATCTGGTGTCTCCAGGTTTCCCCTAAGCCATTGCTTCCCACTGCTGGCTGTCATAAGGCAGGGTGGGATGTGCAGGTCAGGATAAATTGCTAGGTTGCCTTCTTGGTCCCTAAGGATATCCCCATGTTCCTTCTGAGCTTCCTTTGGCCGCTGCTCTTCACTTACAGACCCAGCAGCACATGCATCTGCAGAGTTGCACATTGAGAGCAGGTGTGCGTGTGCTTCCAAAATGGAAGAGGGGATGAAACAGTCAAGAAGTAACAAACAGTGAAGGAAAAGGCAAAGGGAGAATAAGAAATCATCAACTCTGCTAGGATATAAGTCATCAAACTGGAAAGGGGCAGGACTGCAGGACCTCACCTGGGGAGGTGAGGCTGCAGCCAACACAGGGAACATGGCAACAAAGGGAGCTCTGCATGGTGGCAATTGAATGAGCTGAAGGGCCACTCAGTCCCATGTGAGTTAAATCAGGAAGAAAGTTGAAGAAAGGCAGAGGTAGGAAATGTACTGTCTTGGGGAAGGACCAGGGAGGCTGCCAAAGGTATTTTGATGATGGAAACTAATGATGGGAGGAAGGAGATGCAGTGTGAAGAGGTGGGAATCATCATGTGCAAGGACGGAGTAGGAGTAGGAGTTGAAGGTCCCATTAAAAAAAAAAGTAAAATAAGGTAACTTCATGATATCTTGCCCCAAAGTTTCTCTGGGCTCTGTACAGAGCTGCTGGCACTGAGCACGGACTGACCGCCCAGCTTCCAGTTAACTGTGCACACAAAGGTACCGTTTGTGGGTGCTGATCAAGCTTTGGGCATACATGTGAGACTGGTGGAAGGAGATGCTAAATGGTGGATGTTACCCAGGGAGTAGAAGACAAACTTCAAAATAGATTTACATTTCCTTCACCCTATTCCACATGTTAGGTGCAGGTGTATGAAGAGTTTTAAATCTATGCATGGATTCCACCTGAAGCTTGCCAGAAGGTGGAAGATGTGAGCAGCACAGAAACAACCTTTACACTGTGTGCCTCTTACACATCTGTTAACAAGAAACAGGTTTTCAGATGCCTCAAAACCAAAAGGTGCCCTGAGAGAGACTCACCAAGCTTTAGCTTCCAGCTGCTGAAATCTGCATGCTTTGGATTTGGTTTGCAATTGGTTATATGTGGGCTGGTTTAACAAACTGATATGCATCGTGTGTGCTGCAGAGGACTGAAATCAGGGTGGATCAGACACGACTGCTAAATGTTTTCTTTGTTTCTGATGGATAGGTGACAAATTGAATCGCCACAATGCAACCACCGGGGAGTATGCCCAGGCCTGTGTTCAGGTCGCTAGGGACTGTGGAACTGATGTAGTCGATCTCTGGACACTGATGCAGAACAATCAGGTATGATGTCAAAAAGGCTTTGAAACTGTCACGAATTGTGAAGTGCATTATTTATCTTAGAGGAACTGCTAGTGCTGCATGTTCACTGAAATGGTACAAAAAAGATCCGTATTACACTTTGGGGAAGGGAAAAGATAGTCCAGAAAGCTTCATAGTGAGCTTTGGGAAATAAAGCTTAACACCACCTGGCCATTATGTTTGCTTAGTGAATGTCCCCTGGGACCATTACACCTACATAACCTTTTCATGGAATCACAGGATGGTTTGGGTTGGAAGGGGGCTAGTTCCAACCCCCTGCCAAGGGCCAGGACACCTTATACTAGACCAGGTTGCTCAAAGCCCTGTTCAGCCTGACCTTGAACACTGCCAGGAATGAGGCAGCCACAGCTGCTCTGGGCAACCTGCACGGTGTTGGGGTAGTGTCAGCACAAGGTTAGTTCAGGCTGCACCGGTACCCCGCTGATGCAAGTGACCAGATTCCTGAACTGGTCTGTGACAGGGATTGCAGGCTTCTCCTGTAAGCAGATAACTCCAGTTTGGACACTGAATGTTTCCTCTCACCCACACTCCCTGGTGCAGTTGACTGTTCAGTAGTGCAGTAGACTCAATATTTTGATTGTATCATTAATCCCATGATCTTTTCCTGATGAACAGCAGTGACTTTGGCCATCAGAACATTAATACTTTAATACAAGCATTGAAAAAAACAAAACAGTTCAGCTGGCTCTGATGAACTTAACAGTTACTCAGTGCCTTCTATTTGCAACTAGCATATACACTGATACATGTTTTAACCTTGCCTGCAGGATTTCTCTTCCTATTTGTGTGATGGTCTTCACTTATCACCGAAAGGCAACAGCTTTCTGGCAGCACAACTGTGGCCACGCCTGGAAAAGAAACTGTCATCCCTTCCTTTCCAGCTTCCATACTGGCGTGACGTAGACCACACACACCCTGAAGCCACTCTTCTGCCAGATGCCCTGCAGTGAGGAGCTGAAGCAGCCTTGCTGGACAAAGCCACTCTGCTTGTGAGCAGCCACTGCCAGGAACACGCCGCAGACATTGCGTGCCTGGGCAAGGGGAGGTGGGGGGGATCCCCTGACAGTGCTCTGCCTTGGCCCCTTCTCTTGGGCTGTGGAGAATAAAAGATGAGACCACTGTGGGTGTGTCGTGGGTGTGTCATGGGGTACCTTGGCAGCATGCTGCATCTGGTATTAGTGTGAACATCTATGGGGCTGAGCAGCTCTTTTCCTTGGCACATTTGGAAGAAAATGAGTCTCTCACAGAGGCTGCCCTGAATTTTAGGAACTACACTTTGGTTAATACCATCTAGCTTTGAACACCTGGGAGCTGGTAAGAGGCAGTAGCGTGGAGAGTCTTAGGAGTTGTTAATGTCAGTAAGTTTGGATGTAATACAGCAGTGAAAGCAGTTATCTGAGATTTAGTGAGCCTTTTGATAAGTGACAGATTGCAGTTCAGAGCAGGGGGGTGTTTAACTTATTTGGCCATCAGCTTCTTTACACCTGCCTCTTGCATATAGGCACAGATTGCAAAGCAGTGCAGGGCCTGATGAGAGTTGTTAGCGCCATATGACTGCCTTTGCTCCATTAAATGACCAGGACAAGTTAGTCAGGACCTACCATCCACTATGCAACAGTGCTACAAACTGCAGCACAAGTACTTATTTTGCCTGTGCCTGGAGCTAGACCAGAAGCAAGTATTTATGACTATTGGACTGGACTGTCCTGGCTGTAACAAATGCATATAGTAAAGAGTGGCTGGACTAGGCTGGGGCTCCCTGCAGATCTTCCTGCCTCTGAGGTTCTGAACACACTATGCCTGTACTCCTTTCACAGCTTCAGGACTACAGCTCACTCTGGGGCATGGATTGCATACCCCAAACCTCAATTTTCATGCTTCTGAGCTCCTGCCACTGCCTCATTTTCTTTTGGGGAGTAAAGCCCTCAGTGCCGAGAACACACACGTACAGACTTCCTACCTGTAAGGGCATGGGAGCACACTCTCACACCTCACCTGAATTTCACCAGCAGGGCTGACCATAATCCACAGGGCTTGTGGTGAAACTGGCTCCATTCCCAGCTGGAAGCAGGGAAGCCCTCCGGGTGCAGAAATAACTGGCTCACAGCTGGCTGCATGCCAGACTCCTAACGCAGGAATTCACTGAAGAATTTAGATCTTTTCTAGAAGGACTGAGCAGAAACAGCTCTTAACTATAGATTTTTTTTTAATATAAAAAGCTTTTATTGTATTGGGAATTAAATTAACTCCTCACACGTGGACTTTGCACTGACTCAAAATAAGAAAACCCAAACAACAACAACAAAACCCCCAAACAAAGTTCAAAACCAGTATATAAAACACAATAGCTACTCAGACAGGAATACCGTAAGGCACACAAGGTTCAAGTATTAGTGTAACAAGTGTCCATGGTGGGAAAGAGAGGGGCTCTGGTACCATCCCTTCTGCACCGCAACAGTTACTTCCCCTCATATGTAAATCCACCTCCCCTGTTGCTGAGCACTGGCTTGTAACAGTTCAAATGGTTCTACCCTGTCATGTTTTAGGTCAGTTTTACCCACAGATTACTGTGGGAGACAACAGATGCAGAACTAAGATGCTGCTTTACTATCAGTTGCTCTGTGGCTCCACTGTGTCAGTCCCTCTGCTACTGAGCTAAAACAACGCTCCCGTGCCAGTCCCACTCACCTTACAGGTCTCTGGGTGTACCAGAGGACACCGTTAAATTACCTGCTTTGAACATCACATTTTACCCCCTGGGTGGGAATTTGAACTCATGATGTCTCCTCCTTACACTCACCCTGTACGTTTAAGGTTCATTTATTTTTTAATCAAATTCACAATTAAACAAATGCCCCCCCCCCCGAGTGAATTCCACCATCCTCCATTTACTTTTGCAGTAGGAGCTTCCAAAGGCCCCAGAAATTTGAGGCTCAGCTCTTTGAACATCTCAGCAATAGTGTTATTTCCAAGTAACATCTGGAGAAACACTTCTGCACTGAAACAACTTCTGTAAACAGCTGCCTAGAGCTGCCTATCCACATAAATGATTTCTCCCCTTACACGTCTCCTACCAGATACCTGCAACACACAAGCGCAGAGTGGGAAACTCCCATGGAAAGCCTTTCTCTGCCATGGAGACAAGACAACCTCACTGCTAGACACAAGTTTCATGCTGGAGGGGCATTTCCATGCAGCACATACGGTTTAACAGTCTCCCTATGCTCCTTTTATTTCTTTAGAGGCTGTATGTGGTAAGATTCTCGATTCCAATTATGCATCATCATTCAATGCTATGAGACCATATTTTTATCTGTTTCGCTACTCCCATTCTGCTCTCAAGCATCTTGTTTAGGCTTTGGCTTACGTGTACCTTAAACTGCTAAATGATCTACTCTACATGGAACATACTGCAGTGTTTTCATCTTGTTTTTAAAAGCCCCTTAATTTTGTCTATCAATCAGTGCTGTCAGACTACAAAATATTAAGTTATAAAAAAGGCTGATATACACAATCCAATATCCAGCAGGATTTGGTTTTGCACCACAGGTCGAAGGAAATGTTAAAGGTCAAGGAAGTAGAAAAACAAATCCAAAAAGCTTCAAATACAAGCCAGTCTGAGTTTGGATTTTCCTTTTTAAAAGATATAATGCTCTAATAGATGTAATTTAAGGAAGGTCATACACATGACCAGCATCTGCAGTAGGTCACTTCCTTATTTCTCCCACTCCCTCACAAAAATATATATACATATATTTATATTTATATAAATGAAATGGTTTTAGATCCTTATTTTGCAGACACAAGTCGTACATTTGGAAGGCAGCAAGACACTAGCACTCTGTTTCTTTGCTGTCCACCCGGTTCTGACGCTGCAGTTTGAAGGATGAAGCTTTCTCGCTCTTAATGACAGGATGGTCTGTCAAGTCCTCAAAAGATTTGGCGGCTGAGCTACTATTTGGGAAAGGGTCCTTCTCAAACCCGTCCTCATCGATGTGAGAGTCAGTGCTTGGGTCCTCCTGAATGGTGTCCATTCTTTGGTGGTCCTGCTTCGGTGCTGCAGCAACAGCAGGCACAGCCGTGATGGGCTGCAGCGGCTGGTGCCGGCTCGTCGACTGCGCCGCAGGGAAGGGCTTGATGATGCGAACAGAGGCAGAGTCCAGGCTGCTGAGCATCTCCACGTTCTGCAAGACACAAGCAGCCACGTCACCGCATCTAGTCTGGGGTTCGGTTTTTGCCCCATTTTCAAAAGGACTGGGCACTTTCCGAGGAGAGCCTGCACCTCTGTTACAGCAGTTTGAAGTCTACTGCATCCCCCCTGGAGTGAGGAGCCCGTTAACTATACCTGTGCTCTGTTGTTACACCTGCTGATGGGATTTTCTCACCTGCATTCAGATATAAAGCTCTAGTTTGACTTACTGCACTCACGACCAGGTATGGGGCACTTAAACTAAGATTACCCTCAGTTATGTCAGAGTAGATGACAAAGGCAATCTACCTCAGTGGTCTTTCACTTCAGTAAGCTTCCCTCAGTGGTTGTGCAAGAGCTCTGCAAGGCTTTATTCCCCTTCCATTACAAAACATTTCTTTAACCAAATGTTTCAGTTATTAATAAGAATTGGGCTGTCAGGATACCCAGAAATCTATGTCAGAAGGTGCCTGGTCCTGGACTGTAATTAAAGTTTATATGGACACTTTTTTGCTCTTCTCCCAGCTCGGTATCTACAAGGGTGAGAAGTGTCTCTGATGGGTCCCTGCACCTCAGCATAAGGAACTGGAAGGCTCCAGTACAACTGGTCACTAGAAGCCGACTCCTGCAAACAGCCACTGCAGCACAGACACCACATTTAGCAGATTTTCATGCAGCGCTGCCCCGCTGAGCCTTGTGCTTCACTGACACTTGGCTGGGAACAAGCTGCCTGTGGTTGAAGCTGCTGAGTGATGTGTGCTGAGGGGACCCCATACACAGGCGCTCATCACAGCAGTGCTCTGCAGAGTGGAGTGGCTTCCTGCCCAGGAGGGAACCGCAGCAAGAGAGCTGCTCTGGCAACAAGGTCACAACACAGCTCTTACGGGAAGGAAGAATCAGAGCCCACCAAGCTGCAGTGCTTGATGTACCAAACACAGGCTTGGTCAAGAACAGAGTTTCTCCTCAAACTGATTCACCATGGGCAGTGTGAGGCATGAGGCTCCAGGGCTCTCTACTGTCACTTCTGTGATAAATACTCTGCACACACCTTAGGTTCACATTTCCTAACATGCACTGGAGAGCTTTCTGCCAGTTTGTATTCAGACAACTTACACTGGGACAAAACAGGGACTTTGTGTTCTCCTCGTACTGTTTGTCCAATTTCTTGTCCTATTGGGAAACAAACAAATGAAAGCAAACCAAAACATACACACAAAGTAAGAAAGTTAGTTTCCCAGTTGCAAGGTCTCTGTGCCTGTGTCCCTGCAAGACCACAGCAGTGTGTGTGGCTCTCTTCCCATGCTTTGCCACTATCAGCATCACAACCCTCTACACCACTGTCAGCATCATGCCACATGACCACACTCCCAGTTGCCAGGAGCTCACTCTCTTTATCCATCTACCCAAGCTCAACCAAGACCACTTTCCTCTCTGGATCTCCCCACAAAATGTGGTTGTCTTATTTCTTAGTAGGGCTTTAGAAAACTTGGACTTAAATGGAGGTTACCAGAATTATACTTGGGAAGAATTCCGGAAGCAAAGGAAGAAAGACAGCCTAGGAAAGAATGGGAAGGGCTCCAGTCATGGGAGCACTGGGTCTGGGTTTGCCAGAACCTGGCAGAGTTTAGCAGGAATTTTACCTACTGAAGGAGCAGTAAGTCTTACACAAGCTGGATTTCCCCCTGAGGTTTGCTATGAGCTTGCCATCACCTTCTCCCACAGCCATCTGCCATTTCATATACAAAAGGTGCTCTCTTACGGCTCAATCCAACAAAGCAGTCATCTCAAAGACAGCTTACTCACCACACAGTGCACAAGGATGCTGAGAGGAATCCAGAACAGTAAGGAGAAGACAAGCACAGAACCCACAATGTTATCTGCTAGGAACTTCCCTGTGAAATCAGTTCAAATCTGTTAGTTACCTCCCAAATA